AGACACCACAGCTGGTTCCAGCCAGCTCCGACTGACCCCTCACAGGGCAGCGCTGAGCCCCGCAGCCACGGTGGGGCACCTCTGTGATAACATGTTTAAGAAAGGAGACAACGCTCCTGAGAGAGGAGTGACAAACAGCAGCAAGAACACCAGGGTCGGAGGAGGAGGTGCTCTGCGGTTGAGCAGATGTTCCTGAAGGACTGCAGCCACAGAGGACCCCCACTGCCGTAGGGGAAGAGTGAGAAGGAAGGAGCATCAGAGGGAAACCATTACAGACTGACTGAACAGCCACCACCACCACCTTGTGTTGCTCGTTGCCTCACTGAAGGGACCGAGTGTAGCCTGTGGCGATATTGAGTGGGGAGGAGAGAAGTTTGTAGTGAATATAGCAGCTTTCCAGTATCTGAAGGGTGCCTGCAAGAAAGCTGGAGAGGGACTTTTTACAAGGGTGTGTAGTGACAGGACAAGGGGGCATGGCTTCAAACTGCAAGAGGGTAGATTTAGATTAGATAACAGAAAGAAATTTTTCGCTCTGAGGGTAGTGAGGCACTGGAACAAATTGCCCAGGGAAGTTGTGGGTGCTCCATCCCTGGAAGTGTTGAAGGCCAGGTTGGATGGGGCTTTGAGCAACCTGATCTAGTGGGAGGTGTCCCTGCCCATGGTAGGGGGGTTTGAACTCGATGATCTTCAAGGTCCCTTCCAACCTAAACCATTCTATGATTGTAATATGAGCTGGGAAGGAAAGGTGTTTTTCCTAAGTATTTTAATGTTTCCTTCTTTTTATTTTGTTTCTGTTTCCCAATACAGTAAATAAATATTTAAGTAATTGGCAGTAAATTAAGTTATTTTTTTCCAAATTGAGTCTGTTTTGCCCACAGCAGTAGTTAGTAAGTGATCTCCCTGTCTTTGACCCATGAGCGCTCTCATTCCCATTTTTCCCCACCCCACCCTCGTCCTGCTAAGGGGGCAGTGAGTAAGTAGCTGGGGGGAGTTTGGCTGCTGGCTAGGGTCAACCCAACCACAGAAGCTGGAAGCAATTCAGTCTTTGCCCAGGGTTTAATCAGTCTTGACAGGAAGTAGAGGACTAAGATTATATGAACGTGTGTTCTGGCCATGTCTGTATTTGAGGTGTGCCCAAGCACACACTGTGTTCAGGTGATGCTAGCCATGCTAGCGTTATGTACCACCATTCCGAGCTGAAGGTAGGGGAAAGTTTAAGGATACTGAAAAATCACCTTAAAACAAAATATACTGTGTCTACCTGAGATGATGACAGACTGGTTAGTTGGCAATTTTATATGGCTAAGGCGAGATGGAAGCTTTACCCTCAGCTCCTTCTTAAAAGGTCTGATACTTGTTTGTAGTAGGACAGCAAGAGATAACATAGCTAGCCAAGTGACTGACATACTTCCAGATGTAACCTTGGTAACAGCATAGTTTAGATGCACTTCCCTACTCTGCGCAAGGTTGATTTACATGCAAAGGAGCTCTTTGTGTGGGGAATGTTGTGCAGAAGAACAGGAATAGGAGACAACTCAATTCAAAATATTTATTCTGGATTCTTAGTTTGCCTTTAAGAGTAATGTTTGTTCTTCTTTTGGTTTTGTAAACATCCTCTAGATGCATTGGTTGGTTTTATTCCATAAAACAAAACTTCAGAAATCAAATTTATGTCTTTTAGCGAGTAGAAAGAACAGCATTCTTGAATATCTCCAGTATCTGATTACTTTCATTAGTCAAAAACCCCTTTTTATGTCACATTTTTATAAGCTTGGCCATTTGCTTTGCAGCAATGTTTATGACTTTATAACCAACCCATCTCTTTCTAGCCCAAGGAGACCATAGCCCCAGGTTGGAAAAATCCAGACTTAATAACTTGAGAATGAGAGATTTGTTGATACACTGAGATTATAGTTATGTGTTTACTGTGTTGGTTTTTTCATGATATGGTAACAGTTTGATTTGACATACTCGCACAGGATTAGCTTGATTTGTGATTTGTAAACTACTTGGAGGTGCATATGGGGTAAATAATTACGTAATTTAAAGATTCCCATTTAAACAGGTTGACTTAAAAAATTGGTTTGAGTCATGACTCATTTACATAGTAAAAGTTGTTACTGTAAAATAGGTGTTGCAGGTAGTCCCCCAAATTCTGTCATGTGTAGCTGTTTTTTCCTGGGAAGTTAATATCCCAATATATCTGCTCCTTTTATGATTAAAGGGTTTGATTTAGTCAGGACTGCTGCATATTGAGTGTAACGTTTTCATGGTCACCTTTGTTTTACAAAACCTAAATATAAAGGGGAAAAAAGGGAAAACTTGAAATTGTTCAGAAGGGAGTAACTCAAGAAACATTTATACATTTAAAACTATTTCCAATTAGCACTTCATCATTAATCAACCTGGGGGGGGGTGGGGGGTGGGGGGGAATAAAAATCAATGCAAGTACTGCCAGTTCAGTGATTTCGCATCATCTT